ATTCACTTTGGGTCGGGCCCAATACAGCGAATCAGAGTTCTGGGAAAAAGTATTTTTCTGAGCGTGACAGCTTCGGAAGTAAACAAGGACAGAGTCACTTTTTATCTTGCACCTGGGTTCACTCCTTTACTTTCCCAAGGAAGATCTCACACAAACTATTCCTTTCCAGACAATCAAACATTGTACACAGATATATTGGTACTTGAGATTATATTGGCCCCAGAAAGAACCTTGAAAAGAACCTGTGTGTGTGCTGGTGGGGGGAAGTGTATGTGTGTGTATGTGTGTGTGTGTGTGTGTGTGTGTGTGTGTGTGTGTGTGTGTGTGTGTGTGTGTGTGTGTGTGTGTGTGTGTGTGTGTGTGTGTGTGTGTGTGTGTGTGTGTGTGTGTGTGTGTGTGTGTGTGTGTGTGTGTGTGTGTACTGGTATTTGGGTCATGGAGTGTATGTGTGTGTGCTGGAGACAGGAGGTGTATGTGTGTGTGTCAGGGTATCTGGGTCATGGAGTGTAGGTAAGAAGGTTTATATATATATATATAGGATTACTTTAAAACAGTCCCAAATAATACATGTTCACTTCAATACAGTTCAAGATAATACCTGTTTACTTTAATACAGTTTAGAACAGTATCTGTTTACTGTAGTGACTACCAGTGTTTACATTTCTGATTGTTACAATACGCACACTCGCGCCAACAAAAACACACACACAAAGCAGAAACAGAAACATTTATTTTTCTAGGCAAAACAGAGACTGACTGACTTCCTACGGACAGTATTTTAACAGTAGGCACTAAATACCCGACTGATGCGCCTCAATTCTTTGAGACGTTGCTAAAAACATTGCTACGGCTCTCCCTCACAGAGCTGAACTGACCAATCAGAATCTGGGTCCCGCCTGCTTCATTTGCATATGAATCACTAGTGAACGTGTTAACCCTAACCCTAAGGCCTTCACATTCACTAGTGAGCCATATGAACTGCAACTAGTTAACTAGTGGATGCATATTGCAGCTTACACGTTAACTAGTGTTAAGGCAAAATGTTCACTAGTTAACTGAGAAAAGATTGTCCCACTCTTGACCTAACAATCAACATCGGCCCCTCTGTTGTTTCCCCGACTCAGACTGCAAGGAATCTGGGTGTGACCCTAGATAACAACCTGTCCTTCACTGCAAACATCGCTGCTACAACCCGTTGCTGCAGATACACGCTTTACAACATCAGGAAGATACGTCCCCAGCTGACTCAGAAAGCGACTCAGGTTCTGGTCCAGGCTCTCGTCATCTCACGCCTAGACTACTGCAACTCCCTCCTGGCTGGTCTACCTGCATGTGCCATCCGACCTCTGCAGCTCACCCAGAATGCAGCGGCTCGTCTGGTCTTCAAACTTCCTAAATGTTCCCACACCACTCCGCTCCTCCGCTCCCTTCACTGGCTTCCAGTAACTGCTAGAATCCACTTCAAGACACTGGTACTTGCGTACCATGCTGCGAATGGATCTGGCCCTTCCTACATCCAGGACATGGTTAAACCGTACACCCCAGCGCGTGCACTACGCTCTGCATCAGCCAAACAGCTCGCTGCACCCGCACTACAAGGGGGACCCAAGTTCCCATCAGCAAAAACACGTGGGTTTGCTGTCCTGGCTCCAAAATGGTGGAATGAGCTCCCCATTGACATCAGGACAGCAGATAGCTTACACACCTTCCAGACTGAAAACTCATCTCCTTCGACTCCACTTCGAGCGATAGAACTATTAACAAAGCACTTATATACTAATAAAGGGCTGGCTTATCTAAAGCCAGTTGAGTAGCACTTGAAATGTTTTTGCTCTATGAGGCCTGATGTACTTATATGATTCTGTTTTCTTCAAGTTTGTATCTTGTTGGTCGAATGCACTTATTGTAAGTCGCTTTGGACAAAAGCGTCAGCTAAATGCAATGTAATGTTAACGAGTTGAAGCCTCTTTTGGTCTTACAAGCTGACTAGTGAGGCTCAAAATGTGCACTAGTTAACTAGTGAGGTCCAAAGTGTCCACTAAATACACTAGTACAATTGTTTTGCCCTCCACTAGTTGACTATTAAAAAAAACTTCTGTGTCACTAGTTTACTAGTGACTCCTCTAAGGCTTCAGTAGATAACTAGTGAGATAAAGTGTGTGTAACTAGTTAACTAGTAAGGTAAAAACAATTGTACTAGTGTATCTAGTGGACACTTTGGACCTCACTAGTTAACTAGTGCACATTTTGAGCCTCACTAGTCAGCTTTCAAGACCAAAAGAGGCTTCAACTAGCATTCACTAGTTAACGTGTAAGTTGCATTATGCATCCACTAGTTAACTAGTTGCAGTTCCTATGGCTCACTAGTTAATGTGAAAGGGTTAGGGTTAACACGTTCACTAGTGAGCCATATGCAAATGAAGCAGGCGGGACCCAGATTTTAATTGGTCAGTTCAGCTCTGTGAGGGAGAGCCGTAGCAATGTTTTTAGCAACGTCTCGAAGACGTGAGGCGGTATTTGGTGCCTACTGTTAAAATATTGTCCGTGGGAAATCAGTCAGTCTCTGTTTTGCCTAGAAAAATACATGTTTCTGTTTCTGCTTTGTTCCGCTTTGTGTGTGTGTTTTTGTTGGTGCCCTCGAGACACAACAGTAGAGGAAGTGATGGTGGGACATTTTATCAGCGGTGCTCATTCAATTAAATTCAAATTCAATTCAAAACCTTTATTTATCCAGGTAAAATCCCATTGAGATCAATGATCTCTTTTTCAAGGGAGACCTGCAGCAGTAGGTTCCACAAGAAGACATAAAAACATAAACAACAGAACAACAAAAGGACATCATACAGCAAAATGTACAGGGATTACAATTTACATATTTAACCACATGTACAGGTACCAACAGCATCTGATTGTGTAGCATCCAACCGAGCTTTAAAAACATGTAGTGGTACTAGCTTGGTAATTTTCCATTCTTTTTGCAGACTGTTCCATGTTAGTGGAGCTGCACATCTAAAAGCTTTCTTCCCTAAGACAGTCCTAGCACTTGGCACATTTAATAAAACCACAGCATGCGATCTCAGGCAATAAGTACTTTCAATTCGCAGAGAGATCAGGGAGCAGATATAAGATGGTAGTTTATCCAACATGGCTCTGTAAATGAAAAAGTACCAGTGACTGAGCCTCCGTACAGTAAGTGATGGCATAACCGCCTTGGTATACAGGGTACAGTGATGCGTAAGTGCTTTACAATTTGTCAAAAATCTCAGTGCACTGTGATAGGCGGCATCTAACTTGCTCAGGCAATAGGCAGGTGCATTCATATATAACAAATCACCATAGTCCAGCACAGGTAAAAAGGTCACAGAGCCTTTTCCTGGCCTCAAGCGAGAAACAGGACTTATTCCTGTAAAAGAAACCTAGCCTATCCCTCAGCTTTTTAAACAGGTTATTGACATGAAGTTTAAAAGTGAGACAGTCATCAAGCCAGATACCCAAGTATTTGTAACAGGTAACCACTTCAAGTTGTATTCCTTGCGTAGTTACAATATCCAAAGCAGTCTCTGGTGTATTTTTAGAAATGAAATGAATAAAGCTGAAACACTGGACAGATCTTAGAATCAGGGTAACGATAGACCCGTATGAAGATAAACAACCTCTCCATATATTGCCTTAGACTAATATTTATGGAAGTCACAGCGATCTCTCAACCTCTCAGCTGTGATTCGAAGAGGGTTATTCCTCCTTCTACCCACCATAGATGTCACTCTGTTATCACAGTGCTATTCTAATACAAGCACCTTTCAAATGGCAGCTTAATAAAATGTTTTAAAGAGGGTCTATATTGCTGTCTGCAGTTCTAAGGCAACTTTCTAATTTTAAGTCTTCAATGTTCTTACCTAATTTGATATACTGTCATATGATCATAATTACACAAATACTTTTGTTTAATATTTTTGTAAATACGGTCATATGAGTCATGACTGTATTTTAAAACACAGTGTATTTAAGCTCTTAAAGAAACTATTTGGGCTGGGTGGCGCTCTATAGCTTAGGGCCAATAGGAGACCTCGATGCATTATTTCCCCTCCTCCTCATTAGCATTCTGTGCAACTACTGGGACTAGTGAGCATTTGGGATCCACTAGTACCACTAGTGAACATTTTAAGCCTCACTAGTTCACTAGTTGAATTTCAATGTATCTCACTAGTAAACTAGTAAAGGCAAAAGGTTCACTAGTTAAGGTGTAGACATTGTGAGCCCCACTAGTTAACTAGTAAGGTCAAAAGAGGCGTTAACTAGTGAACCTTTTGCCTTTACTAGTTAACTAGTGAGTGATTCTGGGTGCTACTAGTTAACTAGTGCAGACACATGTATGCCACTAAGTTCTGCTTCTTTTTTGTAACTAGTTAACATGTCAAAGTCTTTGCAGTGCACTAGTTAACTTGTAAGACTGTTAGTGTCACTAGTACGGTCAGAGAGTCACTAGTTCATCAAAAAGCTTACAAGTTGGGACTTTGGTGCTACAAGTGCTGCTCCTCGCGTCACTAGTAAGGCTTATGTTGTAACTAGTCAGACAAAAGTGCCACTAGTTGCTGAAAAATAGTGACTAGTATAATGTTTTATTGAACTAGTAAAGCAGAGTGCCAAACTAGTTTGACCATAAATCTAACAAGTGAAATCAAAGAGCCAGCTAGTGTTGGCAGCTGCCATGTGATATCAAGGATATGTAATAAATACTCAAATGGCTTGCCATGCACCCCCACCACACATAATCTGACCCCCACCTCTCTCAGGCTGCTCCAACAATAATGATGACTGTGAAGTGCAGTTGAAATTATTTGTAATCTGTGTGTGTGTGTGTGTGTGTGTGTGTGTGTGTGTGTGTGTGTGTGTGTGTGTGTGTGTGTGTGTGTGTGTGTGTGTGTGTGTGTGTGTGTGTGTGTGTGTGTGTGTGTGTGTGTGTGTGTGTGTGTGTGTGTGTGTGTGTGTGTGTGTGTCAGTGGTGCAGGGCAGGAGAGTGTGTCAGTAAGACCCCCATCCCGCAGCATGTGGACGGGGACTGGAGTCCGTGGAGCCAGTGGAGCATGTGCAGCAGGACCTGCGGTACTGGAGTCCAGTTCAGACAGAGGAAATGTGACAACCCTCCGTATGTCACCCCACTGTCCGTCTGTGTGTGTGTTTATGTAAACATATTCCCTCAAAGCAACAACAATGCAACAATATTTTCCTTCGATGGGAGGGGGACAACCTGCAGATAACCGTTGGGCTCCAACCAGGAAACACAGCGGCTGACACAGCTGAGGGAACAGCAGCAACGTTGTATATATTTTAAAATAAAATAATTTAAGACCATAAAAATAAAATAGGCCAGTGACATTTGAACACAGCAACACATTTCTAACATTTATGATAACATGCTTAAGGTGAGTGATACATTCATCTATCAGGCATCACTGGTCTGTCTGTAGGCAGTAGCTTGAGAACCGGAGGGTCGCCAGAGTGTGGAGAGTAGGCTGACACTATGAGAGGTGCCCTTGAGCAACGGTACTGTATATATTAGCTAGACTTTACACTAGGATGGGATATAAAATATAGTCCTAAATTCACTGTATGTGTGGTGCTGTTTACATGTACACGTGTGACGATTGGAGAGAAGTTAATTAAAATCCTCCATTTCTGTCAAAGCCAAGCAAGCACCATAATGCTGCTTCATGTTGGATCAAACTGATGGACAGTGAATCAGTAAGCATTACATACTGCTTATTATCTATTCTTTACCGTAGGTGCATAACGGATGTTATATTGTTCATCTCTAGAACATTGGGAGCAGATCTTCATGCAGAGTGGAGCTCTTCATCCAACTGTGTTTACACCACATGCTTGTTGACACAATGACAACTTTCTCTTCAAAAACGGTTTTGCTTTTAATACTAACATGTATAAACAGATTGTCCCATGAGTATACCCACACACGAAATGTTTCAATCATGTGTAACTACAAAACTTAGCATTGGATGTGATGTATTCTTTTGTATTTTACACACAAACGCATGTGTATCTATCAAAGCATGATTGTCCTCCATCTTTGGAGCAGGTGCCACGCTGCTTTAAAAAGCTCTCCAACTAAAATGATTCTAATGTGACGTCTACATTAACGTTCAAACAAGCATGCATTGTTTAGCTTTCCCTTTCTCCCAAGGTCCTGTGGGTAGTCTTGACACTGTTGCATATCATGTTTGCATTGTGTTAAACAATCAAACACAATGATGATTCATACCTGCTGACAAACCTGTGATTGAACAGACCCTTAATACCCTTCTATCTCCTAGTTTCCTTAACTGAATGTGTGTGTGTGTGTGTGTGTGTGTGTGTGTGTGTGTGTGTGTGTGTGTGTGTGTGTGTGTGTGTGTGTGTGTGTGTGTGTGTATATGTGTGTGTGTGTGTGTGTGTGTGTGTGTTTAGGCCTGGTCCTGGGGGGCAACACTGTCAGAAGCTCAGTGTGGAGCACAAGGCCTGTGAACGCCCCCCCTGTCCCAAAGGAACCCCCTCCTTCAGAGACCTGCAGTGTCTGTCCTACGACCGGCACGCCAGCAAGAAGAAGGGCGGCATGCTGACTGCCATTATCAATGATGGTGACACACACACACACACACACACACACACACACACACACACACACACACACACACACACACACACACACACACACACACACACACACACACACACACACACACACATGCTTTGGGGATACATTGAAATACTCCCCCCTTTGAGAATACATCATATAACTGACCTTATACTTCAGATAAAACACAAGCAATCCATTGTGCATGGATGATTTGTTTATTGGTTGGTTCAGGTGAGCATCCTTAATTCCCAACATTTTGAACAATAGCATGACCAATTTATATTTGTATGGGGGATTGTGTATTTACAGAGCCAGACACAGAGAGACTGTGCTGAAAATGTGTGATGTCACCCTTAAGGTGCGCATCATTTCCTGCTGAATATATTCCTTTACGAGACAATTGATGTCACTGCAAGGAGAGAACAACAAAGACCGTGTTTGCTTTTGTTAGCAACCCTAGACATACCAGGTCACAGTTGGAATGCCATTTATACTTGGCATCAATACATTTGTATGTAAACATGATTACTTTCAGCTGACACTGCTATCCAAAGAGACTTCCAATAAGTGCAATAAACCATAAAGACACAACCTCAGAACAGTTCAAAACGTATTTTAATTCATTTAATGGCCAAGGAGCAAAACAGGTGGGTTTTCAGTTTGCCCCATTTTGGAGCCAGGACAAAAAACATGCGTTATTTGTCGAGGTGCACCTGGGTCCACCTCGCAGTGAGGGAGTAGCAAGCCGATTGGCTGATGCAGAGGGAAGTGCACGTGCTGGAGTGTATAGTTTGATCAGTGTTCAGAACCATAAGTGAGCAACAGTCAGAAGAAGGGGGGGCTGAGAGGAGGGAGACAGGTACAGTTTTAGAGGAAATGGGGAGAGAGTAGGATATGAAGTAGCGATCAGAGATGTGAAGTGAGGCTACAGAGGGGAAAGAGGTGGAGCAGTTTCTAGTGGCGATCAGTTCTAGGAGATTGCCAGCTTTGTGAGGAGCTGGGGAAGGAGACGGTGAGAGAGTAAAGGAGTTTAGCAGGAGAAGTAAATCAAACAACCTCTCTGTCTGGATGTTGAAGTCACAGAGAAGAACCAGCATGATGACCTCCAAGAATCCCCCATTGGACCTGGTGGGCAGTGCAGAACAGCAGTGGTTATTTTAATGGGGTTAGTTATTGTTAGAGTGTGAAATTCAAAAGAAGCAGTTAAGTGCGGGATTAGGTAGAGCAAAAAAAACGACATGTAAGTGATATAAGAAGACCAGAGCCGCCTCCTCTAGCAGAGGGGCGGGGTGGGTGGGTGAAGTCGGCTGTGGACAGAGCAGTGGGGGGGAGGAGTTGTCTATCCAAACCGAGTCTTGGGAGACTCAGCCAGAAATGAACTCAGTCTTTTGAGTAGCAGACTGGCGGTTCCTGTGACAAGGTGTTGTTTGTGAGTTGAGCAGGTTGTAGAGATTAGAGCGGACAGGTTATGGTGCTCAGAATGTGTACAAGCTCTATAATATCTACAAGAAGAATCATGGACTGGAATGGAAAGTAAACACATGTCTGAAAAGGAGAGGGGAAAATCACAAATTGATACTTAGCCCAGTTAAAGTTGAGTTAGCCCCACTAGACTCCTGCAAGACCCCTTTGTCTTTGTGTGTCTTCGACTGACGAGTCTGAGTCTGACGCTATGAGAACATGCTGCTTCATCAGGCTTCATTACTCAGTGGACTACACTCCCCCTGCCTGAACATTGCTCTGAAGAGAAAGCAGTGGGCCTTTTGCAGGTTGAATGTTATAATTGCTGCCACTTATTATAACATTCAACATTCATAACAACCCGAGCTGGAGTTTTCAAACTACAAGATTAAATGCTTAAAACATTAGATATTACCCAAAGAGATTTGACAACAGTTTATAACAGAGAAATAAACTGAGCTAATTCCTTTGCAGTCCAGAAGTCACATTTCTCTAGTTTCAGTGCACTTATTTAGCTGTTTGTGTGACATGTGATTCAGCTAAGGAGTCAGAGGGTCACAGAGGGCGGAGACTGTAATTCACCACAGGTGTCATAGAATGGAACCTCCTGCAATCCCTGTGATATCCATCTGCCTTTGTTTTCTCATGCTTTCCCAAAGTGGACTGATACGGATCCAAACAGACACTCCTTTACTCTCATCCAGAGCACTCAAAGTTCTTAGTTAAACAGAGTCTCTCAGCAGCTCAGGTCATCACAGCTGCTTCGCTTTGATTTAGGAGCTTTATTCTCACAGGATGTGAATATGTGTCTGAAGGGTCGACCAATAGCAATCCTCCTCTCTCCTTCCTTTGATCACTCAACAACGCTTGTGCTGTCCCCGGTATATGTAGTGTATAGCTTAACAGCCAGATAAACTCCCTCCGTACACCAAGACTCTGAAGACGTGCATCCTTTGCCCACAGGTGTAATGGTATAAGGATGGTGTGAAAATACGATGCGATCAAAGGCATGAAGACGTGTGCAGATGTAGCTGGATTTCTTACAAACAATAACACATTGCTCACAGAGCCGTGCTTTGCCTATTTCCTCTCTAATGGTCACCTGACACACCCATCTGATGATGTCATCCTGACTCTTAAAGCGACCACGACCAGGCACAATGGGCACACAAAGAATAGCCCAGAAACTGCAAACAAGAGTAAACTTAGCTGTAACAGAACAACGCTCATTGGTTAATACACATTCTATCAATCCTTAAAAACATTCATTTCAACATTAATGTCAATATTGTTTGAACTCATAAAAATAAACGAAGTGGTTAATTGTTCCTATTCTTGATGTATTTCCCTTTATAATCGTCGTAAGCACATAAGCCTGTAAACTGAAATTATACTTCGTATTTAGGATATCTCAGATTTTAACAATATCAATCCAAATAATGACAATATTTTAATAATATGATTGTTAAATGCAACCTTAGTGTTTTTGACTTTCTTTACCTATCGTGCCAACACACCAAATCTTTCTGAAGATACAATGTTAATATCTCTGTTAATAACTCAGACAACCCTGGGCTGAGTAAGACACTATGCTCACAGACAACAGAGGAAATGGTGTTTGGCCCCATCTAGCCTTCATAAAGTCCCTATTATCACCCATAATGAAAGAAATCAAGCAGGTACTTCCATATAAATACTTGTGTGTAATGATAGACCATCTTCTATTCTGGAAACACACAAAGAATATATCTGTAAAGGACAAAACACAGCATTTATTTCCCGCCCCGTATTAGGTCCTTTGGGGAGAGTAGACAAATTCTTCTTCTTTCTTTACATCTGTGATTTTGTCTGTTCTATAGTCACAATACTACATGCTTACCCTGGTTGTCCACTGCTTTCAAATCAAAACTGCTCCACCAGTAGAACATCTGCTCAAAGACTAGGTCAGCCCTGTGAGAGCCTCTATGAATGAGCAGACCATAATAACATGAACGTGATACTGACCAACAACCATGGCTTAAACAGTGAATATGAATTGTTTCCATCAGATCGGAGATACAGGGTCCCACAGTTTTTAAGGTTAGCTTGAAGCACTCTTTGGTGCACTAGTCAATCCTCAAATGAATGAATCCTAGTCAGTTGTACGTTCTCCTCACGGTCTGTCACATATTGAATGAATGAAAACGTTATTACAGACTCAGGGTCCAGATAAAAGACAAGGCATTACATATAATAAATTACATACACAGCATAAAAATAATTCATAGTTTAAGAATAATTTAAATCAGTGTCCTACAAAGAGACAACTATACCAATGTCTCCACAGCTGTGATTGGTAGCGTGTAGTACTAAACCTTATGTTCGATAAGGCCAAGAGGATTTCATTATCACAGTCATTAAGCCGGCTTGTAGAGTATTGACTCCTGCAGCCACACACATTTCACTTGCACTAGACCATCGAGGTCTCTTCAATAATATTCTCATGGCATCATTATAAGCTACTTGAAGTTTCCGTAAACTTGCTTTTCTGTAGTTTGACCACAGACGTGCCGTTTAGAGCGGTGTGCAATATGCTCTGAACAGAGACATCTTCACTCCATCTGTACATACACCAAACTTACGTAGGAGAATGTTTGCTTGTGCATACATATCAGTGATTGTAATACCATGTTAGATGCTTGATTCCTTTTCTCTTGTCTTGATCATTTAACTTCTTTCAAAGGTGTCATTGTTTAGTATCGTACCTGTCATAGACAAATGGCATGATCCAGGCTACAGGTAAGTAGCCACAGGTAAGCCCCCCTGTCGGGCTACCATCCAACTCACACTTAGCCACCTAGCTGTCCTGCAGGCGTTTCGGTTAGAGCTGATGCATTCTTAAATATTGAAATGAATGTTAGAGAAATTTAAGCTTTAACAAAGCTCTGCCATAAGCATCCTTTACCCACACTCTGTATCCTCCACTGTCTCTGACCTGCGGACCCAACAGTGATAGAGAGCACACCACAGTGCTCACAGACAGCTGATGCTGTTTGCCTCTGGTCTCCACCAATCTGTTGTCCAATGCTGTCTCACTGATGTAGTGTTACCGACAGCTGTCACATACATCTTTGAGTGGATAGTCATCATAGCTGACCTCACATGACCTCCACAGGCTGGTACTTTGGAAATTGTAAATAAAGGTAGTTTCAAATGTCAAGTCAATGACAGGCAGGTGCTCCCATTCATAAATTAAGTTTTCTGTGTTTCTGAATAACACTGAATGGATCCGCATTGTTTGTTATTGTGCCTTTTATTACACTTGTAGTTATACTAACCACATGCTTGTGTGTATGTGTGTGTGTGTGTGTGTGTGTGTGTGTGTGTGTGTGTGTGTGTGTGTGTGTGTGTGTGTGTGTGTGTGTGTGTGTGTGTGTGTGTGTGTGTGTGTGTGTGTGTGTGTGTGTGTGTGTGCAGATAAGCCCTGTGTGTTGTTCTGCAGCCCTCTGGGCCGAGATGTCCCCGTCCTGGTGTCTGACAGAGTGATGGACGGGACCCCCTGTGGCCCCTATGAAGCTGACCTGTGTGTGAACGGAAGGTGTCAGGTACACACTCACACACACCCAAATATGCAAATACTCCTTCAGAATCCTGTCACCAGATGTGATCAGACTTCCTGCGGCCTGGTGCCCGGCCTGCTCTCCTGCACTGAGACAAATGCTGTGTCTTTGGTGTACTTCTGCATTTACGTGCTTTGAGTGCATAAGTGTGTGCCAATGCCAAGTGCGGCAAAATGCACCATGCCTCGTTGCTAGCTAAAAATGGCGACTGTCACATCCTGTGAGGGCCAGGCACCAAGGAAAGTGCGGTGGACATTGAAGTGGTCAAACGGTGGTACTACAACTTCTGTGTCAGTCCGTGATGTCATTGGGCATAACAATACAACTGCGCATGCTCTATGAGCTACATACGGTACTTCTGCTCTAACAGCCAGGAGAGAGGTTTTTATTTATTTTTTAAAAAACACTTTTCAACAAACAATTAAATTATTTTCTTATATACATCGAGAGAAGAATTCCCTTTTTTCCTCACACAAAGACAGAGTTAAAAGCGAGCTCCACCACAGAGCTGTAGTGTAACACCACCGGTTTAAAAACTCTTCCATGTTTCTCATCAGACAGTGAAATCTAAAATCTACACTCACTCGTGCCTTTACCAAAGATAAAAACATGTTAGTGAGTTGCTGACCGGCTGTACTGTTTATTTAGTTTTTCCTGCTTTTGTAGATTGATATTTTTTCCTGCCCCACAATAAAATGCAACAGTTCCCACTTCCCTGCATTCTGTTTCTTGTAGCCAGCACCACAAATAAAAGCAGTCTCTGTAAAAACCTCCCCACAGTCTAAAAACACTGTTTTTAAAACATTAAAAAGAGGCTTCAGTCTGTGGCAGTCCAGGTAGCAGTGTGTGATCGTCTCTCTGTCGGTGCAGGACGGACACTCGGAGGACACGGTGGGGTTTATCTTCCACACAAAGGCGTTAACGCCCAGGGCCCCGTGGACATACTTGCCAACCCTCCCGATTTTCGCGGGAGACTCCTGATTTCATTGCCCTCTCCCGGTTTCCTGCCGGGGTCATATTTCTCCCGATTTCTCCACACTCACAACAACTTCATACAGACATAAATAAAGCAGCTGCATTCGCCATACAGGAAACACACATTTAAAACGGTTTTGCCTGCCGTTTTTGTGTACACAAGCATTCATCAATGGTTCGGGAAGTGGCGCTGTACCTTAATAATATAAAGGCTTACGTATTTGCGTGCATTTCCTGTTCGGAAAGTGGCAATGTACTGAGAGTGGAGGTGTCCTGAGATTAGCGCCTGCAGGCAGGCTCCATTGACCTGTCAGCTCCGGACTGCGCAAAATGCGTACATAAAGCGCTACGTCATGAACGCAAGAAATCATACCCTCATGGGGGCGCACTCATGTGATTGGCTTAGAAATGAGGAGACATCTGATTGGCTATAGATAGAAAAAATTACAAGTACGAATCGGCTGACCGTCAGGGGAGTCTCAAAAAACCCACACACGAATGCACAGCGATCCGTGCACAGAAAGCGGGTTGTGTTTGCAGGTTCAGAGGATTTAAACGGAAAACTAATATGTGAGGATCAAAAATACATATGTAAAACTTTTTTCTGTATTTGGATTTTATTTACAAGTATATGAAACGGAACACATTTGTGTGTGCATTGAAAAACACAAGTGTGAATCCTTCTGTGTGCATGTGTGTATTATGAGACTGTTCTGAGCCCATAACATTATGTCAGTGGTCTAAAATGGTCTTACAACGGTGCCGACAATATTATCGTTTATCGCAATAATTTCCGGGAAAATGAATCCAACAAAATTAATTATCGTGAGAGGCCTATACATGAAACACACAGACACACACAAATCTACAGACTTACTCCAAACTGCCAAATATATTAATTAACACACTCTCACTCTCATATACTCTTTGACTCTATGTTGGCCTAGTAGAACAATAAGCAGCAGACTTTTACATGTTATCATTTCTACTGGATCTTAGATCTGCGCATGCGCAATACGGGTCGGGGATTGACCAACCGGCTCCCACTGCTCTGCTGTCTGTTAACGTTGTTAAGAGTGGTGGGGGCGGGGAGGGAGCGGGTCGACATTGTAAATAACCAACCAAAAACGATCACCGGTTCATCTTGTTTTTGGCGTGAGAATAGTTTGGGCAGCGTGAGAGCGTGAGATTGAGAGTGAAAGCGTGTGTCACACGCCAGATGCGTGAGAGTTGACAACCCTGTTACACATATGATGTTTGTCAATTTAAAAGATCATTTTCTAAGTCAAGAAAAAATAGTTTGTCGTAAAACTGTGAAGTAACACTTATTTTTGTGTGAAACCGCTCAATGAACTACATCTCTGGTCTCGCACAACACACGTCACCAGAATGAGGCGGAAAGTATTAAACAAGGTGGAAATCATTACACGTCTGGTTGAGAGCTGCTATTACTCCTTTTATTCACTGCGATAGAGAGATGATCGATGTTTCCCTCTGTTTTGTTTTGATCAGAGAATCGGCTGTGACAGCATCATCAGCTCCTCAGCCAAAGAGGACCGCTGTGGGGTTTGTAACGGAGACGGGCGCTCCTGTAAGATCGTGAGAGGAGACTTCAACCACACCAAGGGAATGGGTGAGTGTGTGTGTTTATATGTTCTTTCTCCATGTTAAAGGTCGCATGTCTTGGCCATTTCTACTGATCATAGTTCCATAGTTGAGGTCTACTAGAATAGATTTACATTGTTCAATGTTCCAAACTCACATTGGTTTCTCATACAGCATCTCTGTATAGTCTGTGTATTCACTCTCTGTCCTAAACGGCTTGTTGGAGCACCTGCCCCCCCCCCCTCCCTGTGATCTGATTGGTCGGGACGTTGCGAGGCTCAGTGCGCTGGCTTACTGGTGTAGTTTCCGGGTCGGGTACAGCGGGACAGCGCGAAACTCATCCTGAGCACACAAACACTCACAGCCGAAGTAAAAACAATAAGTGTGGCTTGATATTGAGTAAGAAAAAGGTTTATAACGCTGTGAGAATGGGTCTGCAGAGCATTTCTCCACGATCCCAACTCGACTATTACCAACCAGGGAGCTCTATGCAAGTCAAGGGGACTCCCTGTTAGTTGAAAATGTACGCTAAAGGTCCCCACCCCTCCTGGTGTGTGAGTAGCTCTGCGGATTGGTCCATTTTGGTTCCGGGAACAAATGGAAAAAGATAAATGTCCAACGAGGCGTTCTGGGGCAGCACAGACAGGTCTTCTCTGTGTTAGAGTTTTACTCCCTACAGGGTGTACTTTGAGGGTTTGTGACTCTGCAGACCGTTTACATGCAGAAAAACCTTCATAACACAAGGGGACGGGTGATAACCGGAAAAGCATGACATGGGACATTTAAAACCTTTTTCTATAAAACATCAGGTATCAGATTTAACATCCACTGCTGACATGATACATTTTATTTGATTTATTCTATGAATGCTTTGTCTTCCTATTGATTGCTTTATACCAAACATTTGAAATGAACAATATCATCAATCCTTCTAATGTGATCATGTGCACCCTCTGGAGTCTAAGGGTATTTTCTCGATTTTTAGATGTTTTCTTAAATCACCTTTTAAATGTATTTCTTCTAACATGGCACCCATGTGTTACATATCAAAATGTTCAGGACAATCTCTAGTATTGCTATATATGCAAATTACTCACCTTAGAGCACTGTTTGATGAGATAAGTAGCTCAAAAGCTTAAAATGTGACATCTGATTTTCGGAAAATCTTCAAAACTCTTGTGAAAACACCAATTTACTCATGTGATCGAATTGTTTTGGTGTTTTAGATTTGGTTACCAAAGTTTTAGGATTACAAAAGTAGTGAAATATTTCAATTACACTGTATATAAATGTGTTTTTCATGTCTAAAATGAAATTTTATAAATTCGAATTCTGAGTAAAACAGCTGTCAATCACTCTACTTTCACCACAGCAGGGACTGAGATATATCAGGACTGAATAATGACTTCATAATCAGTGTTGGGACTAACGCGTTACAAAGTAACGCATTACTGTAACGCCGTTATTTTTGGCAGTAACTAGTACTCTAACGCATTACTTTTTAAATGCAGTAACTCAGTTACCGTTACTACATGGTGCGTTACTCCGTTACTGCGTTAGTTTTTTTATGTAGTCAACAGCCAGGCGAACAGAGATGAGAACTGTACTTAAGTACAGTACTTGAGTAAATGTACTTAGATACTTCCTGTGTCACATGCGGAGACGGGCTGTGGGCGTGTTTGTGTTGTTTACTAACAAGACTATCATGGCGGCGGCGGAGCTCAAGTCTAGTTTCTCCACCTGGAGATATTCTCACTATTTCACTTTTGTCGAGCACAAAGAAAAGAAAGTTTCTGTTAAATGTAAGTTGTGTCTTGGCGGGTCAAAGAGCCTATCTACTGCCCAAACCAGTAATTCAAATCTCTTAAAACATCTGCAAAAACAACATGCTGGGACGAAGCTAGTAGCTAAGACCACAGAGACTCAGCCGACGCCACTCCACCTCCACCTAAGCAACAGCGGCTGGATTTTAACCAAGGGACTGCTAGCCAGGGAAAAGTCGATAAAGCCATTGCACGGTATGTTGTAGAACACATGCAGGCTATTGCTACAGTGGAGTCACCCGCTTTCAGGGAGCTAGTTAGCATGATAGCATGTCCGGGCGGCATATGGGACGGAAAACTTTTTCCAACTACCTGGAGAAAGAATATACAAAAATGGAAAGCCAGCTAATATCGATGCAATCCAGATTGCATATAATGCATGTCAAGTTGATCAACAGATTGCATTATTCTCCAATGCAATAACAGTACTGAAATGAAGGCTATAAGGGCATTAATGGGAGCCCTTTTTTTAAGTAACGAAAACGTTACTTTTCACAGTAACGCATTACTTTTTTGTAAGTAACTAGTAAAGTGACTGCGTTACTTTTGCAATGAAGTAACTAATAATGGTAACTAGTTACTGGTTTTCAGTAACTAGCACAACACTGTTCATAATACATAACAAGGTTCATGTGATGTGTAAAAAAAAAAGAATTGAGCATTAGAACTTTTTTGTTCAACCCACAATTTATTATAATACCAACAATGTATATAAATATAACTGGAAAATCTCACTATTTACAATATTGAACATCAGAACTTTTTTTCCTTCAACCAACTATTCATTATACACTGACAAAATGATCCTTCCTCCAGTAGTCCAATACATTGTCCAGTTTCAGCAGCCCCATGTATTTATAGAATCCTCTACAGTCAAGTCAGTCCATTTGTAGGTTTTACCCTTTCCCATCTCCTGTGCAGCCCGCTTGTTTGTGTTGGTACAGAGTGTCTGTACTGTTAGTGCACTGAAGAACAGCTTGAACAGGTCAAGGGGTTTGTTTGATACTGTTGAGCTGAGCTGTGGCCCGGGTGTGCGAACAGGTTGAAACCTGGAGACAGGGGGAGCAGTGTCAGGGTCTTCGCCTGTCTTCCAAGACAGTGGAGCTGGCTGCTGTGCAGGTGGGGGTGATGGTGCATGGGCAGCTGGTGGCTGTGTGGGAGGTACGTGTGCTCTACGAGACCTCTTTGCTGTCCGGGTTGATGGTGATGGCTGTGGCTGTGGTGGAGCTGAGGTGTATCTTGACCTCGTCGCAGGCAGCTGTCGTGATGCTGGTCCGCTAGTCATTGGTGGGGATGGCAGTGGTGAAGGCCCTTGATCCACGGTAGATCTCAACATGGTGGCAGGCACAGCTGGAGGCTCCTGGATAAATGTCATCTGTGGGCCGCTATGCCCAGGCAGCTGTGAAACCTCTCTGTAAAACAAATACAAATTGTGGGACAATAATTATTACGAAGTTCAACACACACACACACACACACACACACACCTATGTATTGTACTCCCCATTACTACATAGCACTCCCCACAAATAAATAAATTAAATGTCTCCGTTGTGGGACAAATAAAGGATTATCTCATGCATCTACACATGTAATCTTACTTATACACACCAAAATAACGTTTACACATAAATAAAGTTTACACAGAGTAAACGTTTACTAATCAAGAGTCTATTTTGTCCAAAGATAAAATTCATGACGGAAAAAATAAATGGCTGATGAATCTATTGTTCATTTTCGTGCTTCTCCCCACAAAATGGCAAATGCACATGTAAATAAGTATATGACAGTCTCATCTGTACAGAACAGTACGGTAAAATAATCACAGACACACATGTAAATAAGTCTATGACAAAGTCTCATCTGTACAGAACAGTATGATCAAATAAAATACATGTCTATAAATGTCTCCGTTGTGGGACGAATAAAGGATTATTTTTATTCATCTACACATGTAACCTTACTTATACATGCCAAAATAACGTTTACACATAAATAACATTTACACAGAGTAAACGTTTACTAATCAAGAGTCTATTTTGTCCCGAGAAAAAGTTCATGAGGGGAAAATAAAAAGGTTGATAAATCCATTGTTCATTTTCGCGGTACTCCTCACAAAATGGCCAATGCACTACAAGTTATATTTACACTTACCCATCCTCAAATGGATCCCTGCTGTCCCTGTATTCTTCAGAAGAAGAAGAGTCGAAGCCTTCAGGTTCTGATGAGCCATCTTCGTCACTGCCGCTCGCGAAAATAAAATCCAGCGCGTCCGCAACGGTAAAGTTCCTTCGAGACATTTTCTCTATCTTGATTGATTGATTGATTGAAAAGTTTATTAACAGCTTGTATATTGGGTACAGTACAGTACAGCTCAAATCATACAATTGTTAAGGGGATGCAGACCAGAGAAAGACTTTCGTCTTGTTTACATCAGGGTCCCCCATTTCCAATTCATCATGTCATTTAAGACATATAAGACATATTTGACATACAGATGGCTTATTTACAATTTACATACAGGTGGTCAGGTAGTCTTCTTCACAGACTAAAAGACTGAAACTGATGGGAGACAAGTGTTATATGTTTTTTTATTGGTGGGTAGGTCCTTAGATTTCTCGAGTGTCCATTGGTCATTTCAGACCGACATGGCTGCCGGCCGGCCGAGATGTCCTTGACTGACACACAAATCCACCAATCACAGTGTAATCAAGCTGCTTTGAGCGGCAATATTGGCTGTTGTGCCCTGGGTACAGTCTCACAGGAGATACTCTTGAAAAGCTACGATTCTAGCGATTCCGCAGATATCTGAATCATATATCAATAAATAAATAAATGTGCACTTGTGTTTGTGAAAACACCTAGGACTAACACGTTAACTAAGATAATGTCAATGTACTAAGAGATAACCCTTTATAAGGAGCAATGAGCTGTTAACCCCATGAATTGTATATTTCATGCTTGAAATCAATGACTGTGATTCAGACAGGAGTGTTTCTATTTCTGAAGAAGATTCTCATTCAACTTGAAACTGAATGTATGAATTATCCCCCCATGTTATCAGTACCATAAAAGTCCTTAAACATAAAGAGTTGCTGCAGTGTAGACAGTAGCTTTACATTCAGCCCTTACTGTCTTTACAGTATCATGATATAGTGTTGCTGTGACTCCACAAGAGTTTCTGAAGCATGTCATTCTTCCCTTGACCAACCCCTTTTGAAACAGTGTGAGCAGATCCATATCATTTGGACAGTAAAAAAGCACACATCTCCTCAGCATCACCCTCTCTGCACTCAGTCAGTCTTTATTAATGTGGCGTGGCATCAGTGATCATGGATATGTGATGATATTGCCAGAATGTGTAAACACTGTTAGATGAATGAGTAATCAGACACATCCTGCAGCAGTCACTCCTCAGGAAAGGGATCACAACATGAGTGGGAGTGTGTGTGTGTGTGTGTGTGTGTGTGTGTGTGTGTGTGTGTGTGTGTGTGTGTGTGTGTGTGTGTGTGTGTGTGTGTGTGTGTGTGTGTGTGTGTGTGTGTGTGTGTGTGCACACATGCATGCACAGGCTGCTGTGGTCCACAGGAAATGTGACCTCCATTCTACTTCCTTGTCTCGTCCTCCAGTTAACACTACGCAGTGTAAGAGGGTATCTACCTGTGTGATGGCTAAACCCAGAGCTGTGCCCAAGTGTTTCTCATGTAAGATGCATGCAGTGTGTGTGTGTGTGTGTGTGTGTGTGTGTGTGTGTGTGTGTGTGTGTGTGTGTGTGTGTGTGTGTGTGTGTGTGTGTATGTGTGTGTGTGTGTGTGTGTGTGTGTGTGTGTGTGTGTGTGTGTGTGTGTGTGTGTGTGTGTTTCCTGTACTGTCTGGAGTGTTTCACTGTAGGTAGAGGCTCCACTGGGTGTGTATTCTGAATCCTAAAATAATGAAGCTTGGTGACAGTTACATAAGCAGCTGTTTGACCCTGTTACCCATAACACCACTGTGAGGTATGCCAGGGACGCATTCCATTCAGCAGGCTGTTTCCTCCTCCCTGCCACGCTTCCAAGTGGAGAGGTGTCGGGGGAGGGGAAACAATCATCTGAAATAAACTGTGCACAGTTTGACATTTACAGTTTTGTATAAAACGTCAAATGTTGACATTTGGCTTCTTCAAATGTGCTGCTTGTAAACCCAGGTGAGCCCATGGCAGTGTGTGTCTAACCAGAGGTGCACAGGTGGGGGGGGCTGAGGGTGGGTGGACACCGCTGATCGGCTTGCGGGGGGGATCACTTTCAGCACGGCTCACAGGATGTCATGAACTCAACGTATTGAAATGCAAACAGTGTTTATTTCCTCTCCATGAACTAATCATATAAAAAGAGTTACTTAATAGACCGGATACCCTCACTGATGTTTATACTTAATACAATACCATTTATTTAATACAATTTGCTATTTAAACAGTATATAAACTGTATATATAAAACATGATTTAGGTTCTAATTGAAGTGGCGATATTATATTTAGATGCCTTCATTAAAAGGACATTCGGCATCAAATTGTTGTTGAGATTTTGAGAAAGCAGGATTTCGACAAAGATCTCCATGCAGCTAGCCGTGATGGCTGTTCAGGCTACTTTCTGTGCTCACTGTTTTAAAGCCTTTTAGCCTAAATCCTTGTTTTACCAAACCTCTACAATACTGATGGCATGTGCAAAGTTAGCACAACTGATAAAGTCAAAATGATTCATTAAATGTGTTCATTTTCACTTGTTTAGGATAAAGGGGCGACTTCTTGACTGTGCCTTGCAGTGTGTGTGTGTGTGTGTGTGTGTGTGTGTGTGTGTGTGTGTGTGTGTGTGTGTGTGTGTGTGTGTGTGTGTGTGTGTGTGTGTGTGTGTGTGTGTGTGTGTGTGTGTGTGTGTGTGTGTGTGTGTGTGTGTGTGTTTTAGGCTCAGAGGATGTTTTGGTAAGTATGAAGTCATGTGGTGTTTCTACTTGTGAATTACTTTTAATATGTTGGGCATTGTTTACTGGGTACAAAGCAGCTCACCTCTGCATTTCACTTATATGTACATTTCATCCAGAATTAATAATTACATTGCAATGCAAACAACTGATTTTCTTCTAATTGATGAAAATGACCAAATAAAAAATAAACAATGGCGAGTGAAGTGAAACAAACAAACACAAATGAGTAATGGTCCTTTAGAATCCAATAAAGCCCTGTTGCTTTATACTCACTATATCAATAGTCTAACCCTTAACACTGCTACAATAGTTGGCAGTGAGGTAGTGCTCAACATGTTACATGGGCTGGTGGCTGGTTGTGAAGCAGAGATGAACAGTACATTAGAATAGTGTGTGTTAGGGCCTGAATCCCAAAGGGGAGGTGTTTGGTGGAGCTGTCAGGTGGTGTTACAAATTCAGAGAGTGCAGTTGCTTAATTGATGCATGTATGAGATTGTAGATATCTCTGATATTTTATATTTAAAAGGAAGACTAATCATTGCAAATAGCCCTTATTTACTGTAAACTATAGTGAACAGTGTCTTTAGGGGCAAAGGGACCTACATTTCGCTCCAAACCTTTGAACATTTGTGGTAGTTGCGTCTGCATGTACATCATGTGCGTAACAGATGATTAAAGCTGAAGTCCCTGAGCACAAAGTCAAACTGAGAGCAGACTGTTCAACCCGACCCTTCTAATGAACCCTTCCTTCTACTTTCAAAATAAAAGCGGGAGCAGAGGCATTTTCTTACCTACTGCAGTGGTTCCCAAACGGTGTGCTGCAGCACACTGGTGTGCCGTGAGGCAAGTCCGGGTGTGCCGTGGGATTTTGTGCAACCATACGTTATTATTGCAATATACAACTACACAAAAATAATTATTTTTTAATTTACTATATCAGTACTTTGTAGGTTTATATGTACGTAATCTGCGCGACTTGCACGTCCACATCTCCACGTGCAGTGCTGCATAAACATGGCTGAGTCAGTATGCCCATTATTTGGAGTTCGTCCGAAGAATAGACAGGAATGTGACGGTGAGGTGCAAACTGTGTCCAGGCCAGAAGCTGTTATCCACTGCTGTAAACACCACGTGGTCAAACCTCAACACACACCTGCAAAGAACACATGCTAAGGTGAAGCTACCGCACAGCTATTTGTTGTTTGTTTATATCACGTAGTCTGTTCTTCTTCTCTGTCTTCCGGTTGTTGCCTGTTTTGAATGAACACACTACCGCCGCCTGCTGGTAAGGAAAGTTATTGCCACTCACGCATGTGCTCGGCGAGTAAAGTAACGAGTTACTTTATGTAGATAGTAACGAAGTAGTGTAATATATTACTTTTTTTAAAGTAATACATTTATAATTTATAATTTATAATGTGTAGTTCCGGACCATGGACAATGCAGCTTCCTTGCATTGACAGTTCTCTGTGCTGAATTTCTGCTGAGTTTCCTTTGCCTCATTTTTTATTTTGTGACCTGTCTGGTTTAAATGAGTGTGTTGCTGCTTTGATGAAGCCTAATTTGATAAAGTTTCAAATTAATTTCTGAAATATTTCGTAATATAGTTGTCTTTGTCACATTTTATTTGGCATTAGTAAATAATTATGCACATTTACAGATACTTTACATGATATGAGTGATAACACGTGTTATAAGGGCTATTTTGCACAATAGGTGTGCCTTGGGATTTTGACTTGTCCTTTGGTGTGCCTTGGGCACAAAAAGTTTGGGAACCACTGACCTACTGGATGGACATAAAGAGCAGTATTGGCAATGAATGTGTAATTAAGACTCAAATAAGGAGAGAAACATTTGACATACAACTCAATATATTGATTCCTGTTTTGAATTCAGTTGTAAAGATGGTGGAGCGTCTCTGATCCAGACACAGGTCACCAGCCGTGTTGTCTCCTTGGTTTCTCTGAATCTGTCTCCAGAGGTCAGACGGTGCCTTCAGGTTCCAGCACCCAGCATCTGTGTACACTCAGGTTTTAACCTCCTGCTGCTCTCCCTCCATCAGGCTACATCGAAGCTGTGGTGATCCCTGCAGGAGCCTGGAGGATCAAAGTTGTCGAGGACAGACCCTCACACAGCTTCCTGGGTAATGATGCCTGTGTTATAGGGTGGCAATAAGTCATGCTTTTGTTTTAACTTGATATTATAAAGGAAATGGTGATTGCAAAATGTAATGGCTGTAGAAAAGGCATCACTGCCTGGGAATACAATCATATAGATGTTAACCACTGCCTTTAATCATAGCACAGAGCTTAGGTGTCTATCCACCATGCTCACCATATATAAACAAGTAGATGAAAATCAACCGAATATGTTATATCAGAGGAAAAGTTGCAAAGCTGTCTGTCAAATATGAAAGGATAACTAACTTCCTGAAATGCTGATGTTTCTTTGTGAACATTTGGCAGCTGCTGTTGTGTCTACAAAAAACTACTTTAGTATAAATACTATGCATTTAAATGACTTCTTGTTCATTTGTATCTTATCTGGATAGATGTATGGAAAACATACACACTTTGTACTTTTCCCTCAAAAAATCAGTCCAAAATCTGGGGCATCCTTTACATGAATCAGAATCAATGCAGTAAGTAAAGACATTTAATGAAATGCCAATCAGTAGAAATCTGTGACTGTTGAACCTCCAGTGTTAACAGAACCACTTTTCATAACGGGAATCCCTCAAATAAACAGGAAGTGTACTGTGCACACATCAGTGTCTGGTGGATGAGGACACATGTTGTAACGATGGGCAGAAAGGACATTATCCTGAAATGAACACATGTTCAAAGTGCTGTTTCTGACCCCCCCTATCCCCCTCCCAGCGCTGAAGGACTCCAGTCAGAGGTCCATCAACAGCGACTGGAAGATCGAGCTGCCGGGAGAGTTCCAGCTGGCAGGGACCACGGTGCGCTACGTCAGGAGGGGCCTCTGGGAGAAAATGTCTGCCAAGGGACCCACCAAGGGCCCCCTACACCTGATGGTAAACACCAGCGTCTCAGAATGTCAGGGATGATATTCATGAGCAGGTCGTTATCATCAGGAGAAGAACCTGACGGAGGAGCCTTGACCCCCCCCTGAAGGGATTCTTCCCACTGTAATGACCGGGTCGCTGCACAATATCCCACTTATTACACGGCTACTTACTAAATCGATCAATCATTTGAAACATCTTTTTTTTTATATATCTTTTTTTTTCAGTTATAAAATAAATAGACATTGCTCCAGATAACAGAACATACAACAAAACATGTAACAACAAACAACTAAACAATACATAACGGGGCTGGGGGGGATGCAAGGATGACCTCCTAAGACATCTGATTGTGACATACACAGGACATTACATTACACAGGAGATGCTATATTGACAGGGTCAGATAGGAGAGCTGCGGACAGTGAACCGCAGTCCTCCTGTCTCCCCTCAAAATCCCCCAGCAGAGAAGCTGCACGCTCCATGTTCAGTAGGTCCAGATACTCCCTCAGCCATGAGTCCCTAGTAAAGCAGGCTGGTTTGCGTTCCTTCCAGTTTAGCAGGACGAGTCTTTTTGTGGCTAAACAGCCCAATGTCCAGAGCCGATCGGCAGTCCTTGCAACATTGCCATCTGGCTTGAGACCCAGCATGCAATGGGACATGCAGGGAAATTCACTTTGAAAGATTCAGACATTAAGGATATTTCTTCTGACCAAAGTGTTTTTACCGCTGGGCATTCCCAGAGTAGGTGCAACAATGTACCTCGCTTGCCACATTCATGTAAGTCATGTAAGTCATAAGTCTCTGTGTTTATTGTCCATCTTGGATTTTGTAACAGGGGTGATGTAAGCTCTATTGAGCATTTTGAACTGTATGATCCTGAATCTTACACATTTAGAAGAGAACATAGCTGACCTCCAAATGGAGTTCCATTGCAAAGCAGACAGAGAGATATTCAAGGCTTGCTCCCAGGCCTGGGAAACAACATCTTGATTTGAACATGATTTTATTGTTCAAAAGTGATCATATATAATATTTTTGGATTTATTTAGTACTGGCCGGAGACACAAACCCAGACACAACAACAGTGTAGGGGAGATGACATTCCCATCGCACAACAAAGTTAAATACATTGATCAAATAAAACAACAGTTATAAGGGTTATTACACTGCCAACCAATGGGAGTTGTCTTTGAATTTGCCTCTTGTTTTTCACCCAGCTTCTACTTCTTACAGATCTGGAGCGCGCACACTTTCAGATTTTGAGACAATACATCTTGCAGTAACCAAAATGTTTCAGTTTGTTTCAGTTTGCAGCATTCCCATTGTTTCGTAGAAAGAGTTGCATTTACAAGTAACACTAGCAGCACAGAGAGGACCACCCCCCCCCCCCACAGGCCTGAACACTTCATTCAGAGATTGGGCATCGTTGTGATGCAGTGGAATCTGGTTAATCTCATGTTAGGGATGTCAATTTGTGGCAAACAACGTCATCTTCAATTCATCTTCTTCTCCTCTGAGGGCACTGAGACCACTACTCATTGGATACTACATACTCATTTCAGTTTTTCCATGTATTTATATCAGTAGTGATTGAATATATGTGCTGCCATCCCTCTACAAATTCAACACTTCATTTACATTCAACTCTTTTTTCTTTTCAGTTTAAAATAGCAGTAGTTGTGTCCCTCATGAATAAGACAGGGACGTTTCACAGTGATTAGCTTATTGGCTAGGCCATATTTCATATCAGCATTCTTTACAACACACCACTAGCTCTACAGGTAAGTTATTTATTCAATTCACATATTATAGTTGAGTGCAGATAAACATGCTTATTTCACACAAATGAGTATATATTGCATGTTCTTACCTTAACTTGTACATTAACTCCATTCACCTATCCTTCTGACTTTGTTGTAGAAAGATCCATTTTTACTCCGCCTCCCCTGACCGCACATCCCTGGCCTCGATACATCTGGTTAATTAGTTGTGTTTTTTAAAGAATAGCTAATAAAGCTCTGCTAACTTCCCTATAACTTGAGATGGGTACAGCCATGGGAGGAGACTGGCACTGGGAGGTGCTTGTTGGCCCTTCCAGAGCAGGGCCCCAGCAAGGTGATGACCCCTGCTGAGAGCTCTGAGGTAACGCAGCTTGGCCGAATCAAATCCTAGTGTTGATTTACTGTCCAGTTTGTGACAACATGAAACTTTGCTAAGTTTGCTAACTACTGTCTTCTACGGACATAGATTAACGGCAGGTATAGTGAGGAAAGGTGGTTGAGTTTCAGCTCTGCGGGACTTTTATTTAATGGTCTCCTATCATGCGAAATGCAATTGTGTTTGTCTTTTCTACATAACTATGTGTCCCCGGTGCGTCAGGGAACTCACCAAGTGTCAGAAAATAAAACCCTCTCTCTTTTCCTCCGTACCCTAATCTCTAAAAACGGGTCTGCAACAGAGCTGATCCAGATTTGCGTCCGATATCACGTAATATCGGCAATGTGGGCTGGCTTTACGCCCATGGCCCTATCAGAAATGTCACTGTAACAATGCCCGACGTGTTCTGGAAGTAATATGGTCTGTGTAACATTAGCAAGCATCGCTAACACTCAGAGTTAAACCTGTAGAGAGCATGTGTGAAGAAGCAGGATATAAAAGGAACTCACCTTGTAGTAAACCCGCAAGAGAAAAAGCATTTGAGCTCCATACTGTTTCAGAAATATTCCTTGATGTGGTTTTTGGCGTTTAATCACGGCAGCATTTAGCTGAGTATCTACCGGTAGAATTGTCCTGCATGAGCTCCCCCTCCTTTTTCTATTTTTCCATTTATTTATTTTTGAGCAACAGACTCAGAATCAGCGTTTCTCTAACAGGGCATAACAGAGGGATATGAGGCATGGCTACAATGGGTGATCGGTTTGGTATTTTGAGCAAAACACATCATAGACATGTTTTTGATATATTTGTATATATCTGAGACCTATAATATATGCCTACAAATCGTATAATAGGAGACCTTTAAACCCCTCTCTGTCCCCCCCCCCAGGTGCTGCTCTTCCATGACCAGAGCTATGGGATCCACTATGAATACACCTTGCCCCTGAACACAACGCAGGACAGGAGGAGCGAGGAGCACAGGGAGCCAGAGTACCTGTACATCTGGACACACAGCAGCTGGCAGGACTGCACGGTGCAGTGTGGAGGAGGTGACACACACACACACACACACACACACACACACAGTTAGAGCAGCCTAATTGTGAGGCGTCCCGCTGCGGGTCTTGTGAGCAGCTCCTCTTATCCTCTTACTGCTTCGTATATAACGATCACCCAGTGATGACAATATTCAGATGTAATGACGTGAGAAGAGCACTTTGAAGTTGCAGTTCTCTGCAGGAGAGCAGGTCAGGTGCTCCTGGATTAGTATTCTGCTCTCTTAATGCTGGATTAGAGTAGATCCCCTGTGGATGTTTCCAGAACACACAGCACAGTGAGACCTGACCAGCTTCTGTGAGCTACCGTTCCCTGCAGTCCTACAAGGCACTGACATGTTGCACCATAAAGTTCAATTATTCCTCTTCTTACAAAACAAGGTAACGTAAATTGTCACTTCATGTTGCACAAACATAGAATATATATACAAATATTTGTATTATGTCAGAATTAAATGAAATAAAAGTTATAAAAAATATTCAAATACTTACTAGTTACTCTTTGGCTTTGTGTGCACTTCCTGTGTCTGCTTCTCCTTACTGAGAGCCATACTGACGGGGAATTATCCAGTCCAGTTTCTCATTTATTATTTTGCATTCAAATAGGAATGTCCTCAAGCCATGACAGCCATTTTCATCATCATCATCATCATCATCATCATCATCATCATCATCATCATTTTCCATGTGCCGATTCATAATCCATCCAGTTTGTTCAATATGAAATCCCCTCATGAGTGTAATGAGGGGATTTCATTATTGTTCCTCCCCTTCATTATAAGTATAATCTTTGTAAACAATTGAAGTTGCTCTTTCAATTAAAAATATTTGTCTTAGCTTGGACTGTGAGTGGTTTCAATGTTGATGATGATGATGATGATGATGATGATGATGATGATGATGATGATGATGATGATGAAGTGCTCTGTGTCTCATGATGCTTCACTGAAAACTGCTTTCTTTAACGTGAGAATGTGTGTGTGTGTGTGTGTGTGTGTGTGTGTGTGTGTGTGTGTGTGTGTGTGTGTGGGGGTGTGTGTGTGTGTGTGTGTGGTGTGTGTGTGTGTGTGTGTGTGTGTGTGTGTGTGTGTGTGTGTGTGTGTGTGTGTGTGTGTGTGTGTGGGGGGTGTGTGTGTGTGTGTGTGTGTGTGTGTGTGTGTGTGTGTGTGTGTGTGTGTGTGTGTGTGTGTGTGTGTGTGTGTGTGTGTGTGTGTGTGTGTGTGCAGGTGAGAGGAGGACGGTGGTTTCCTGTATGAGGATATTCAATAAAACCATGGAGAGGGTCAACGATAGCTACTGTCAGCCTGATAACAGACCCCTCCCCCAAATACGACTCTGCAACTCCCACCACTGCCAGTACCGGTGAGACACACACACACACACACACACACACACACACACACACACACACACACACACACACAGTGTTTTGTAACTGCTGGTTGCTTGCTGACTATTAACTAGGGATGGGTATCGTCTGAAATGTATCGATTCCGGTTCTGCTTATCGATTCCGGTTCTTATCGATTCCCCGTTTCGATTCCAAAATTGTAAAAGAAAGAGGTCAAACTTTTAGATAACAAAAATATCTTTATTCTTTTAAGCTTTAACTGACATGTTTACAAATAAAAAATATACATGCAATACAAATGTATTGCACAATAGCTGTGCTTTATTTTAACTGAGCTACAGTATGCCTGTGGCAAGCTATTAACAGGCATTACACTGTGCCTTGTCTTTTTCTTTCTTAGCGTAGTGGAGCCTCACTTTAGAGCGTTTACCGCGATCTATCTTTGGTGTTATGAAGTGACTGAGCTCGTGAACTGTCTACGGGAGGGCGGGGGAGCCTCGCTGCGGGGCAACTGTGGACCTCTGTCGCCTGTCTGCGCAGCTTACATAATGCCATTTAAAAATGAAGGGCGGTGCCGGCCGGCTCGGTACGCTGACGGCCGGCACCGCCCTTCATTTTTGTAAACGGCATCAACGGCCCGCTGACGACCGGCCGTTCTGTGATTCTCCAGAACACACAGATGGCCAGTCCGCTATGTATTCCACCGGGTCACCGCGGCGCAGACGGACCCGCGGCGCAGACGGACCCGCTGGAATACAGGGTCTACCGCATTTAGGAACCGTTAAGCGGAACCGTTAAGCAGAACCGAAATTGTGTATTTTGTACGGGTACCCGGCATTTTCTTATCGGTTCTCATCTGGAACCGAGTTTCGGTTCCCAACCCTAGTATTAACTGATCCTGTCATTTAGAAAGTGAATCGGGAATATTTTGTAAAAATGACATGAATCATTTACTTTTGATAATAAGCTTAAAAGGGAGTTTATAATGAGCATCTCTATTTACCTCTGTTAGAGTATATCTGGATTAAACGTAGAGTGTAAATGTAGGCACATTTACCATTAGCTTTTATTTTTACATTTTTTATCCATTTTATTATGACTAATAAAGTAAAGCAAGTTCTGGCCATAACTCCATATGAGCCTGTGCATTTCTTTACGTCACCCAATCTGTTGTTTGGTCCGTTGCACTGCGCAGACCTGAGACTGTCTGCTGTTGTCCACAGGTGGGTGACAGGGGATTGGGGGTCCTGCTCCATCACGTGTGGTAAAGGTCTCCAGCAGAGGGGGGTAGCGTGTGTTTACCACCTGCAGAATGGCACCCTCTTCCACACCAGAGACCTGTTCTGTCAGGGGGGGAAGCCCCCTGTTGTGCAGGGCTGCGTGGGGCGCCTCTGCCTCTCAGTGTGGGAGGCCTCAGAGTGGGCCCAGGTACGTCCCCTCACTGCGCTCATCTCGTGTGAAACAACTGTAGCTCTGGACCAATGGATAGGGTTCGCTCATGAAAAACCTGGAAAAGTCATTCAAATGTAGAATGCAATATCTCGTTTTTAGAATGTGCCTTTTAGTTGCATCAAATATAGTTTACTAGTGTATCCAAGCATCGGAATAGTATGTGTAGTTTATAACGTAAGTTGGCATGTAAACGTTGCAGTGTTTTGGTGGGGACCCGTACGTACATTCAGTCACACCCCCACTAGCTTCCAGTGTCCTCTGCATGCATGAGAGATCAATCATTTATGGCTTTTTAAGGACATTTAGCAGTTACTAAAGAGACTGACCCAAGACGCGCTACCTTTCACACTCATTGAAATCAAACAGCACCTAAAGAAGCAGTTGGTCACTTTGGTCCTCTTTGCTGAAAGTGTCGATGCATGAGACAGATACTCTGTTAGAATGTTCCTCTGCTTCCAGTGCTCGTATTGGCATTTGATAGATTCCATTGCACCGATGAAGAAAATCTATCAGAGCTGAGGGGTCTCCTGAAGCCCGATCAAACTGTCAGAGCAGGCCTCCCTAATCAAGCATGAATCAAGATGATTTTATTACATTGCTCAATACTCGCCTCAAAACATTTGAGGAACATGTTTGAGTGCAGTGGTTAGCTGTGCATTGAGAAGCTTTGACCTGAGGAGCAGAACCTTGTTCCAGGTTGATAGTTTGCTCAGCGTTCACAAGCAGAGCATCCTGAGCTCTGACTGGTCTTTTTCCTTTAGGTGTGTTTGAATCTTGAAAAGGCCATTTGGAGCTCAGAGACACAGATAGAGCAGATACTCTGTAAACTGACATTATTTTGGTAAAAACCCCTTCAGTTTGGGAATGTCTGTGAAATAGATTTGACGTTAAACTGAGCCTTAAATGCTTTGGTGCATTTTGAACACGTAAGTCATGTTTAGAAGTAGGAGATGTGTATTGGCTGAGGAATGTTTGATGTCCCTTTTATACTATGATTGTTACATTTAAAACAAGGTATAGGCATAGCGTGAAGAACTGTTCCTTTTTGGTTATGCAGTCCCGTTTTCAAAGTAGCACAGTTGTATAAATGAGTTAGCATGCTGCCAAACTAAGATCAAGAAGCATTTGTTCCATATTGCACATGTTGTTAATAAAAACATCAGAATCTGTAAAAGTCTAAAAACCATTTTAAAGTATGTATGTTTAGCTCAGCCAAGGTGTGGCTGCCTTATGAAGAATAGACCATATTAGACAGTCGTGTTGCTTCTTCCCTGACATTATACTGTGTCCTCTCTTTCTACATGTTCTCCTGCAGTGTTCCTCAGACTGTGGGCGAGGCGTTCACAGTCGCACAGTGACCTGCACAAACCCTCAGGGGGTCTGTGACCCTCAGTCCCAGCCCCCCCATGAGGAGCCTTGTGAGGACCACTCCAAATGTTACGAGTGGAAGACTGGAGACTGGTCCAAGGTACGACTACCTCCAGACTCCCTGCTTTATTCTGACACACTGAAACACCTCCAAGCATTCACTCACCAACAATATGGGAAATCCCGCCCTCTAGGGGAAACGCCATGAACATGCTTCATTTATTAAGGCAGAATATAATCTTCCCATGAAACTATTTTCTATATCGGCAAGCTACAACAGTTTAGGCAAGGGTACCTTCACAGCAGTTGGAGTCCATTTATTCAAATGTGTCATCAGTCTTTGATGGTGTGGCCTTCACTGTCCTTCAGACTGCTGTTGAATCATCTTCTTTTCATCACTTCCCTGTCTGTGGGGAAACAGACAAAGTCTCTCGGTAGGAGATGTTGTGAGCGCCCTGCATCACTCTGGTATCACAGTGAGATTTACTGTGGAGGACATTTCCTTCCTCAGTTTATTCATTGAATGTGTCTGACACACACACACACACACACACACACACACACACACACACACACACACACACACACACACACACACACACACACTGAAGCATCTCCAGCAGCCTCACTACACCACACTGCACAGGGTTCAATCTATGGATTATGAATAAGGGCCATCATATTTTTTAATAATATTTTGTCTCTAATCATGAACAATGCAACTAGAATTATTATAATAAATTAAAAAAGAAATAATTTAATGATGACATCAGTGAGATCTGACACCTGATTGGTTGTTTCAGTGCTCGTCGTCCTGTGGGAAGGGCCTGCAGTCACGAGTGGTCCAGTGTATGCACAAAGTAACAGGTCGTCATGGTAACGACTGCCCAGTGACGTTGAGACCGCCAACCTACCGACCCTGTCACCACGGCACCTGCAACGAGAAAATCAATGTGAACACCATCACCTCCCCCAGGCTAGGTGAGACTATTTTAATGTTAAATTTGCCTTCATCGTTCATAAAAGAGCAAAAAAACGAATACGTAAGCTAAAACATCATCATGAGGTGTGCCTTAAATGCTAATAAAGTATGTTGTTCCATCATGGTTGACATTTTACCTTTGCTAAAAGGTTTAAAAGCCTTATGCAAAAACCACAAACAAACCAAACCCATTGGTTCTTAAAGAGGTCCTACTGTGCTATAGTTGTTCTAGCATGTCAATGTTCTGCAAAGGCGAAAATCCCTGTGTTCCCTCCAGAGGGAGTTTCTCTCCGACACACTCCCCCACCCCCCCCTGCCTGAAACGCCTCCATTGGACTGCTTTGTTTACTTACTAAACAAAGTGACATCACTAACACTTTTCAGACAGAGGGTGAAAAGAGTTGCTGCAGCACAGGCAGTATGAGAAACATAAGCCGCGTTCACACCGCAGTACTTTTCCCACTTTAGTTCTGAAATGTCGCGTTCACACCAAAAAGAGCCGGAACTCAAATTAGTTCATGAGAAACTTTTCACCCCCTTTTCCGTCCCTGCTAGAGAGCAGGGACTTTCGTGGGAGAAAAAGGTTCCTGTGTCTGATTGGCTGGGCGGATTGCAAACCACGCCCCGTAAAACTCCCAAAAAGTGTTGTGAAGCTGCCATTTTATTATCCTCGCATTAGCATTATTAGCATTAGCATTATTAGCATTAGCCCAGCGCAGAAACGCAGAGAGACTAACTTATGGCAACACAAAATAAAACATGGGAGCGGTGGAGATGAGGAGGTGTCGGCGTTCTGGCGATTTACTCGGAAGGCTTCAGTAGAAGCTGCTGGGACTCCCAGCAGCTTCTACTGAAGCCTTCCCCAACTCCGGGGACTTCCGGCCGGGGACTCCAGGTGGCAGTATACGCCGTGAAGTGGTTTGCGGCCTGCCAGTAAACCCAAAGCAGAAGAAGAAGAAGTGACGTCAGCGGCTTCATTTGCCTAATCCTCCCCCAGGGACTTATTCCGGTGTGAACGCGATCTGTACTTAGTTCATGAGAACTAAAGAGTTCTCATGAACTAAGTACTCATGAACCTTTGTGGGAAAAGTACTGCGGTGTGAAAGCGCCTATAAAGAGCTTTTTGAACATTAAAGCATGGAGACATGTCCCAGTAGAGACACAGAATACTGATATGAACCTGAGCCTAATGTCCTCTTCAAATATGTTTGAGAGAATTCATTACATAAAAAAACCATTCTGGCACCGAGGCCTGTTGCTTGAGTGTGACCCTAATGTCTTCATCTTTATTGAATTGGATTGAAACACTCTCCCCACTCCCCAGCTGCTCTGACCTATAAGTGCCTGGGGGACCAGTGGACCGTGTACTGCCAGGTGATCCGGGAGAAGAACCTGTGTCAGGACATGAGGTGGTACCAGCGCTGCTGCGACACCTGTAGGGACTTCTATGCAAAGAAAATACTGCACAAGAGCTAATGACTGAATGCACCTCCTTTCCTCTACGTAATGCTCCTTTTTGTAAATGTTTTGAATATTGTTAAATGTATAAAAAAAACAATTTATATTATTGATGGAACTTTTTGTATTTAAAAAAGAAAATGGCAAGTACATGTAAATGTACATTTTTAAACGGGCTCATAAGCTTCTATATTTAATGAGACTTGAACATGTCAGATTTGTCTCTTGCTGTACACCAAACAGAATCTAAGGAGCATCTGAGAGGCCGCTCCACACGGCTCACTCACACAGCCATGAGTTTAAGTGCTGGATCTGATGGACTGTGGCACGTCTGTCAGGGCTCTCCTTACTTTATAAATATGCTCTCCATTGTATCTTTTACTCTGTTGTACTGTTTTATAACTAAATGTTGCAATTTCAAATGACTAGTATGTTTATATATAACCCAAATAATTATACTTAAGTATGAATTAAGTATACGTTTTGATCAGGAGACCCACGTCTCCAGGTCTGTGGACAGCTCATGTAGCATGGTGCGAGCATTACACGTCTTTCAGATGCAGTCAAGTTTAAATTATTGTTGCAAACAATATTATTGCCTGTTCTACGATGTTTTTACATTCACCCCTCAGATCCACCTCAGGGTAAAAAGCAGCATGAGCATAGACAAACAGCTGCTCTCATTGGCTGTTTCCCTGCCCATCATCCTGAGCATGGACATGGTATAGCCTTTAATCAGTCAATAGCTTTGTCGTAAGTGGTGAACAGGGGGGGAGGGAGGGGGGGAGGGACCTACCATGGCTGTTTTCAAGCATGTGCCTTTAGCATTCAGACAGGAGCTCTTTACTCATAGCCAGACACACTAGGTTCATGTCAAAATGATAGAAAAACCTCAAGTAAACATTTGAACTCTTGGCTTTTTAAACAATCCAATATATGATCATTTGTCCACATAACATGTCAACATCATACCTGAGGAAGATTCCATTATATTCGTCCTTTCTAATGTTCATATCAGGATCAAATCCTGTCCACATGACCAATCTGAATACTTATTATTGGTGGAAATGCAACTGGAGCTCTTTGGTAACTGATTGAACACCAGAAGAAGAGCTTCTGCACTTTAGCTGCAACAATAACAGTTAAGCAAGCCGACAATTATCTATAAACACAAAAACCTGGATGAAATGTATTCATGAACTTTATTTACTCCACTCACCCATAGTTATGCCGCCCATGATCTCCAATCTCCCCCACAGCTCACATGCAGTATAACCGTTTTGGCACATATGACATGGGATAGAAACAGACACATCCACTTGAACATCAGTGTACAATATATTCTTTATTGTTTAATTTAACGTAAGTAAAGCCAATGCACTGTGTAAAGACACATTTCCTTCATCAACACAGTGAAACATCAACACAGTGTAACATCAACACAGTGTAACATCGACACAGTGAAACATCGACACAGTGAAACATCGACACAGTGAAACATCGACACAGTGAAACATCGACACAGTGAAACATCAACACAGTGAAACATCAACACAGTGTAACATCGACACAGTGAAACATTGACACAGTGAAACATCAACACAGTGAAACATCAACACAGTGAAACATCAACACAGTGAAACACATATTACATATTTGTAATTACCACTATATCTTATCACCACTTCAATGTCATGCAAGGGCGTTGCTATCAATGGCATAGCGCTGTGATGATTCCCTTTTAAATATTTAAACAGCAGCTGCTTTTTGTTCTCCCTGCCCACCTTCACACAGTACCGGAGCTCGTGTGGTGTGTGTGTGTGTGTGTGTGTGTGTGTGTGTGTGTGTGTGTGTGTGTGTGTGTGTGTGTGTGTGGTGTGTGTGTGTGTGTGTGTGTGTGTGTGTGTGTGTGTGTGTGTGTGTGTGTGTGTGTGTGTGTGTGTTCACTAAGGGTTTAATGGTGCTATCTTCTGACCCGTGTCACTGTTGTGGAGTTCAGCTTATTGTCAGTAACGGTGCTATTGTCAATGTCAACAGTTGTCTGTTTTAATGTTGTAAGACTATTTAATAATGTTGCCATTTATTGTCTTTTTTTTTTCAATGTAGTGCAAATATTAACTATTTCTGTACTGTACTTTTTGTTGCACCGACAGTATGTTTGGTATGGACTGCCACTACATGTATTTAATGGTGCCGGTCCTGGATAAGTGGATGAACATGGACGGATGTTTGGAACTGAGTTCATATGTTTAACAGCCATGTTACCTGTTGTCTGCTGCATTTGTAGTCACACTATATTTGTGCTGTCATCCACTTTCTGTCCAATATTCCTCACATCATTCTGAGCAGGAGCCTGAATGGTAGGATCAAATTATATTGTAATAAGTCTACTGTAAAGTAATTCTTTGTTTTGTCACATAATAAATGATATGACCCACTAAGTTATGTGGAGTTACTATGGGCTTAGATATGTCTCATAATTATTTGTGTGAACATAAAAATAATTTGTGTGTAAATATGTGATTTGTAAATGTAAAACACCATCCACAAATGCATTTCAAAGATTTGCAAACTCACTGTGGCACTCTATTGCATCCCCGCATCAAAGACACAGACTCATGTTCCCACTAAAGTAGGGGTGAGTGTAATAAGGAGCCAAAGTTGACGATGCCAGGAGCATATAAGGATTTATCCACGATGTTGAAAATGTAAAAAAAAATATTTTAAAACATAAAGATAAAAAGGTTTTAAAAAGTAAATGTTTAATGTAAGCAGGTGACGCTACTCAGCCAATCAAATCGGTGCAGTCAGTGAGTCAGCACGATAGATTCAAACACACACAGAGACGATACAAGAAGGGAGAAACAGTCGGAGTCATTTCAAATGGCGTGCTCAAAAAAGAAAAAGGTAGACAGCGAAAACAGAGCATTTAATGACATGTTCTCTTACTGGACCTCTTTGAAATGCAATTGAATGCCCCTGCATTATAGCAACAACAACAACAATAATAATAATAGCAATGATAATTGGGAGGGGGGGGGCGCGGCTGTTCTTATGTTCTCTGAGGGGAGGCTCACCTTCCCACACTTTGAAAACCCCTGCTATAGCCCAAATTGCAGCACAAAATAGTTCTGCTGTGCTTTCTACAAACTTGCTTAAACTGAAGGCAATTAATCATTCCACCCAAATGGTGCAGGAAGGATTCATTAAGCATTCTCAGTGAGCTCACTCCCCAGATGGCATGTGTGCTTTCAGCCATGACTGTGTGTACGAATTGTGCGTGTCAAGCCCTTGGGTATATTTGCAGCTTCCCCGCTTGAAAGGGATGGTACAGTCCATAGGAGGTTTTAAACTGGGTTTCACTCGTACAATGACCACAACTTTGTTTCTTTTGAGTTCTTCTTTACTTTGGTATTTGTCGTTGCAGTACAGCTTATGTAGTAAGGTTGTAAGGTAAAAAACCTTAAATGAAAAATGAAAAATAATTTACTGTAAATACAATGCACATCAAATAATAAATGCAAAAATACATGCTTTACATATACTTTTTATCACTTGTGAATATTGTTTTTACTTTCTTAGTGTATTTTTATGAATTATGATTTTAACTTATGCAGTCTCATTAAAAATGCAAATATAATAGACTGAATTTTTAGCAGCATGCAAACCGTTTTTACCAATCTACATCTCTCAATAAACAAATCACATTCGTTTTTAAATCAACAATCATGTTGCTTTAGCTTGAGGACATCAAACAAACAAATGACACTGAACTAGAACGCACGTTCTAACGTGCGCCACGAACGGCAAGTTGTATGACTCTTAACTAAACACACAGTTCGTCTCTCACCGGCCGCTTCTCCAGCTTTTTATGGCTGCACCAGTGCTGCTTCTTCGACGTGTCTTCTGCTGGTTCGTTGCTGCTGCTGGACGCACGCTCTTTAGTTTGTCCCTTTCCAGCTTTGATTACTCCCTTCTTTCAGGTGCGGTGCTTTTAAAGGTGCAGCGACGCTGATTAGCAATTAGGGAATGATTTCAGACAGCTGCCTCTCTGTCAATCAGCCCGACTTTTTAACCCCTTGATCTCCTGTGAGGATTTTCCAAGTTGACTTCACACCTCCCACTCGACTTTCCAGTGCAGACACCTGGGAGGTCGCATGTTACAAAGGTAAACTTGGGTCAGACGCTTTGTTCTGCTCTTCAGCGGGAAGCAAGACGACCAGTCGACTGACGTCTCTGTGAAGAACTGTTGCTGGGATCTCTTCAAGTTTTTTCGATCTTTGGTGATTTGCTTTTGCTGTGGTAGGCCTTGTGACAGGAACAGGGTAGCTTGGGAAGGTTCTGACGTTGACATCCCTCACAATTCCATTGCTGTCCGAGTTGACACTGACCACTCTTGTAATCCTGAACTGACCCCTCAGGGCGTTTTGGTCTGCAATCCAGACGATGTCTCCGACTGCGACATTTCTCTTGGCTGTATGCCACTTGTTCGTTACGAATAGGTTAGGTCCAGCGAGTTGACTCCAGTGCCTCCAGAACTTGTTCACTTGCGCTTGCATTTCTTTAAGCCTTTTGTAGGGATAGTCACTGAAGTCAAATGTTCTGACATCTCCACTCTGCGATGCTCGTCCGAGCAGGAGACAGTTAGGAGTGATGAACTGAACACTGTCTTCTCGGCTCTGTGTTCTGGCGTCAATTGGTCTTTCATTCGTAAGATTGGCTGCCATGTAGAGAGTTGTTTGGAATTCACTCCAACTTAGCCCCGACTCTCCTCCCAGACTCTGCAGTGCTCACTTGATGATGCGCACAGCAGCTTCTGCAGCACCGTTCTGGTGTGGAGAATCGGCTGGATGAATTTTCCATGTCCATTCTGTGCCATTCTTGGCAGCTCTCTCTTCTAGTGTAGCTTTGTCAAGATTGGCAAGGAATCTGTACTGTTCTTCTAGGACTGACTTAGCCCCTACGAAGTTAGTACCTGGATCTGACCAGATCTTCTTTGGATGACCTCGTAGTGCTGTGAACCTCTGGTAGGCGAACAGGAAACTTTCAGTGGATTGAGAGTTCACCAGCTCTGTGTGAATAGCTCTGGAAGCCATGCAACAAAACACAACTCCCCAAACCTTCAGTGACACTCTTTTCTTGACATCATCCTTGAATTGGTACAGTCCGAAGAGGTCTACTGTTGTGTATTCAAAGGTGGCAGCTGGTTCTGTCCTCTCTGGAGGTAGATCACCCATTATTTGCTGGCATCTTTTTGCTTTAGTTTTTCTGCAGAGCATGCAGTTTTTGACCACTTTCTGAGCAATCCTCCGACCCTTCACGACCCATGCTCTCCTCCTCCTCATCTTGAGCAAGGTTCCGGCCACTCCATTGTGGTTCTCCTCATGGGCTTCTCGTGCTAACAGCGTTGATACCCAGGCTTCATACGACAAGATAGGGACAGCAACTTTCTCTTCATTGAAGATCTGCACGCGACCCCCACAGACCAACAAGCCAGTCTCTTGGTCTCTGTACACCACCAGCCTGTCTGTGGTTGTACTTGGGAAGGATGCACCTTGCTGTGCCGCAAGAAAGATGTCTCTTAGGGCATCTTCTCTCTCTTTCACTGAGATGACTTGTGAAGACGACACTGCCTCCCACTTTGGACTCTTTGCAGTTTCCCTCTAATAACTTCTTCGCTGCTCTCCAAATCCAAGCAACTGTCTTGACGAGTCGACTTAGGTTGCTGAACCGCTTGACGTTCACAAGGTTTAGGACAGCTGATCCTGCTGGTGGCCTTTTTGGGTGTGTTTGGGTTTGTTGCTGATCTAGCTTTAGCTCTGATGGGTTTTGTGTGTTGTCATCCTTTGGATCTGATGGCACTTGTGCCTTGGCTCTGGTTAGTGCTGCAACAAACGCTTTCTTTTGCAATCTGTTGACACTGTCTCTGGCAGGTGTCACCAAATCGTTGGCAGATTTAATTGGCCATTCATCCACTGGTAACTTCAAGAACGTTGGTCCGTTCTGCCATTCTGACCTTTCATCCAGGTCTTGAGGACTGGCCCCTCTGGTTATGATGTCAGCAATATTAAGAGGACCAGGAACCCACCACCAATCTTGGATCGCTGTTGTGTTCTGGATCTCTCCGATTCTGTTTGCAAAGAAGGTCTGATAACAATATCTCTCTCTCTGGATTGCACCGAGGACTGTTTGGCTATCAATCACATGGAACCACTTTCCAACCTGGATCTTGCTGTGCTGTTCGAAGTATTTTTTGAGACGTGAGGCAAACACTGCTTCGCACATCTCTGCCTTAACAGCATCACCTTTGTGGTCTAAAGGAGTTAGTTTTGCCTTGGACTCCACCAGAGTGACAAATGGGCCTTGGTCGGTGTTCCACCAGAGGTACATCACAGCACCGTAGGCATGCTCGCTTCCATCGGAGAATATTATTGCCCAAGGTTTTCCAATGAAGCTTGGAGGCGTTATGGCTCTGGTGAATGTAACCTGCCCGAGTTGCACATACTCTTCGAAGAGTCGGATTGCATCTTCTCTGAGGCTGTCTGACAATGCTGTATCCCAGGTGTCTTTGACAGGGCAGTTGTCGCTCTTTGCCTCCTGGAATGCTCTCCGCACAAGGATGGCACCCTTCTGCTTGGCAGGAGTTACCAGACCAACTGGATCATACAACCCTGAGACTTGACTCAGGAGGTTCCTTCTTGTCAAAGGGTTTGGGGTTTGTGCTCTTACTTGCGGTCTAGTAGAAGGTCTTGGCCAAGTCGCATCTTCTTCTTTCTCTTTGAGAAGTTAATGGATGCCATTACATGGATCTTGTCTTCTTCCACAAGGTAGCCTAGACCAAGCGCTTTGTTATCTTCATCCCTCATTTGATTCGGGAGGACCATGTTATTAACTTTGGTCTTCATTGGTTTGTTGTTCCCTTTCCTCCCACTTTGGCCTGAGAAGACCCAAGGCTTCAACAGGAAACCTCCAGCTTTCAGGATTTGCTCCACGTTTGTTGTGATTGTTTTCAGCTTCTCTAAGTCGTTGTGAGACGTGAGGATGTCGTCAACGTAGCTATCATGTTGTAGTACCCCTCGCTCCTCTTCAAGGTGGGCGAAAGGAGGTAGGTTGGCTGTTTCTCGCATTGCGAGCTGTGCGATGCATCCTGCAGGCTTGTCACCAATATTGACTCTGGTGATTGCGTACTCCTCCAACTCTTTGTCCTCAGAATCCCGCCAGAGGAACCTGTGGAGGTGCATCTCTCTATCTTCCAACCATACAGAATTGTACATTTTCCTGATGTCCCCTAAGGCAGCGTTGGTTCCCCCTCTGAACCTCAGGAGGACAGCACGTATCTGGTTAAGGACGTCTGGCCCTTTCATCAGCAAGTCGTTCATGCTGGTGCCTCTGAACTTTTGACTGCTGTTCCAGACGAGTCTTACTGGGGTTGTTGTAGAGTGTGGGTTTGGTGCAATAAGGTGACTCA